ACTGCACAAAAACACATTCAGTATTCCTCTATATGAATAAAAACAGTGACATGCAGACTTAGAATATGATGCAAACCTGCAATAATTACATATGTTAAATAGCACAAAATGTGTAGTAGTACACATTTTCCTCACAGTATCCTTAATGTATTTAATCCAATTTTATTAACCAATGTTTTTGCTGCTGATCTTCAATGATCCAATTCAATGATAAAAATGTTTTTCTTTTTTATTGCTGAAGAATGTGTTGAACTTTCTTCTTCTGCATCCTATTCTTCATGCAATCCAGAATAGCGGCACAGCTGAAAGGTTTGTTTGAGCTGCACCCTCTACTGTACAGATGTGAATTTACAGTTCCTTCAGCTTGAGATTTATTCATTTCACTTTTAATGTGAAAGGGCTTTCACATTTGCCAAAAACAGAACATTTTATATAAAAAAACAGACAAGCAAGGCCAGCCTAGATTTAAAACGTTATGTAAAAGTATAGCGTAACACATTACTTTCCATAAAAAGTAATGTAATTAGTTACTTTTTTTTAGGGAGTAACACTATATTGTAATGCATTACTTTTAGAAGTAACATTCCCCAGCCCTGGCTGTTTTGTGGTCTTTACATCATGATACAGTGCAATCAGATAGTATTCAGAGTATTTCATTTGTCTCATATTTTGAGATCGGCAGAGACTTCTCTTTTGTTTCTCACATCTCCAAACCTGATCTCTAGACCCCAACAACGATGACCATCAGGTGCTTGTTCACCTCTCTTACCAAAGCCTGTCTACTATGATTGCCCAGTAAAATAATGAAGGGATCTGAATATATATTTTCAAAATGCACTGTTAGAAATGTTAGAAAATATTGTCATTTTTAACCCTAATCCAGTGCCGCACATAGGCCTATACGTATATGTCATTACCTCAATTAATGATTTTTGTAGCTTTAAGATAATTAATCATTCAAAGAAAAAAAAAATTATGGTTTTGGAAGCAAAGCAGCAGAATTTTATACTTCACCTGTGTTTTGAGCAAGGTATTCAATACCCCAATTCAATAAATAATTTTAATATTTTAAGGTTTAGTCTTGGGTAATGATGGAATTCATTGAAATGACCAGAATCACACAGAACAGAATGAAACCGTTATATGTCATTCCAGGTAAATGGCTAAAGCAAATTATGTAACTGTGCAAAGTGAGCTTATTAATTTAATGAAGTCTATGTTAATAATGTATGTTTCCATGTCTATGCAAACAAATGGAAACTTTAAGTGTGTACAGTATGGATACCTATGATTACTCCCACTGGATTATATGTCTTACTCCTGAAAACAAAGAGGTGAATTGTCTCTACTCGAAGAGGAGTGATTCAGCAGATTTTCTCAAGGACACATGAGACACTAGAGGAGTTTCATTTTAACGTGGGACAAAAATTTACACTTTTATATGATGCCAAGGCAGGCAGGAGCCGAAATCTGAAATTTGAACCATATAATTACTGGGGATGAACAAGTAAGGGAGAAAGAAATGCTATGTTTGTTCTTTTTAGTGCATTGTTTTGAACTAAAATCGAATAAGCTTCCTTCTTAGGACACATTTTTTATTTCAATAAGGACAAGTATGATACATGCTGCTATTCTTCCTCGTTGTGGTGTGGATAAAAATAAACAATTCAGATATGAAGCATTTGAGTGGATCATTTTCATCTGTTACAAGCAAAGCGCTACAAAAAGCCCCAGTCTCTCTTGTACCACACAAAACACGATGCGATCTAAGACTCCACCTTCCATCTTCTCTTAGCAGTATAAAGAAGGTAGAAACTGTATCTCTCTCTCCCTCCCTCTCTCCCTTTCTTTCACCATTTCTTCATTTAAGCAAGTCTTCAAGTCTGAGGACAGCTCTAATATCAGAGCTAATCCTGGATCCTGAGCACCACAGTCTGTGGTGAGGAGCGAAGCGCGATGGCTTCAGCCGGCCTGGAGATCCTGGGGATGATCCTGACCGTGGCCGGGTGGCTTGGCGGGATGGTGGCCTGCTGTCTGCCCATGTGGAAAGTGGCGGCATACATAGGCCAGAACATCGTCATCACGCAGATCGTGTGGGAAGGTTTGTGGATGAGCTGCGTGGTGCAGAGCACAGGACAGATGCACTGCCGCGTCTACGACTCCATGCTGGGGCTTCCCGACGATCTGCAGGCTGCGCGTGCTCTGACAGTCGTGAGTACGCTGCTCGGTGTGGTAGGCATGGCTCTGGCTGTGGCTGGGGCGAAGTGCACCAACTGCACATCAGATGCTGCTAACAAGCCGCGCATTATGCTGGCAGCCGGGGTGACGTTTATAACGTGTGGGCTGCAGCTGCTAGTGGCCGTCTGTTGGACAGCTAATGGCATCATCCTGGATTTCCACAACCCGCTTCTAGAGGAGACGCAGAAGAGGGAGTTTGGGAACTCGCTGTACTTCGGATGGGGCGCCTCCTGCCTGCTGATCCTAGGTGGAGTCATTTTGTCTTGTTCCTGCTCCTCGAAAGCGCAGAACAATGCTGTGCCGACAAGAGTGGACTACTCAGGGGTCAAATCTATGTCTGTGAATGAATATAACAGGAGAGACTATGTCTGAGAGGTCTGACTCTTTGCACATGAAATACTTTGAGAGAAAAGCCATGTAAATGTCAATAACAAATGAATGACTGATGCTAAATTTGATTACCAACATGGCATATATAAGATTTTTTTCCACTAAAATTGCAAAATGAATGGTTAGAGTTCATTTTGAGTCCATTTTAGACATTCTACTAACTATAAGTAACTTTGCAACTGCATGTCAACTAACTCTCATTAGAGTATTAGTAGACCCTAATAACTTATTAGTAACCATAATAAGGTTAGGGTTAGTAGAATAAGCTGACAAGTACTTGCAGAGTTACTTAGAGTCAGTAGAATGTCCATCAAAATAAAGTGTTAGCAGATATTACGCAGACAGTCACTAATACTCTAATGACTGCTAGTTGACATGCAGTTACATATAGTTAACTTTAGTTATTGCAATGTCTAAAGTGGACTATCAAAATAAAGCCAGTTTCATTAATAGACAAACATACCTGAATTTATTTAGACAGACATTAAATAACATTAAAACATTAAATAAATAAAAAATAAAATCCCCCCCCCCCGTGAGACTCAGAAACTAGAGTAAAGCAACAAAAAAAATGCTAGCAAAAGAGTGCCCGTTATCATTATTTGAAATCAATCCTGCTCTTAAAAGTCAACCACAAATACTAATGATACTCTCCATGTCAGCCCAGACGTGAATAGAGACAATGCGCTGGTTGTTCTAGTAAATCTCTAAACCTCTTTGTGCCCAATGCTTTAGTCAAGAGAGCGTAACTGAGACTTGCACGGGTGCAGATAAAAGCACCTGCTTTATTGCAGAGTAGATGCCTCTATAATTACTTACTGCAACTCTTTCTCAAAGTGTTCAATAATTAGGAAAATATGTAAAGCTCTGGTAGGTTAATATGCTAACCTACTTTTGTCTTGAAGTCATTAAACATTATCCTTAAAGGTGCTATACCGATATTTTGTTTACTGTTCATGTAAGTTAAAAATACTGACGATATACAACAAATGTATCTGAAAGAAAACATACATTTGATGTAAAAAGAAGTAGAAGATGCTCATTCCACTTGTTCCACATGCTCCAACAACACTGCAAAGACTGACGCAAGGTCACCAGGCTTCACATACCTATGCATGACTGATTACAGAGTAAGTGTGTGTATAATGTGTGTGTGTGTGAGAGAGTTAATAAAGCCTGATGCTGTTTAGTTTAGAGTTGAGGAATCGTGGACTGCTGATAGCAGCTAAAGTCACGCTGTCAGGCATCACTGATTCTGTCTTTGTTGTCTCTCAGCCCTCAGTGACTTTACTGCTCCTTCTCAGGTGACGAATCAGTTCAATTATCCCTTTCAAATCAATCTCTGCTCATAGAATCCAAACAAATTAAAGGGGTCATATGATACGATTTCAATTGTTCCTTTCTCTTTGGAGTGTTAAAAGCTCTTGGTGCATAAAGAAGGTCTGTAAAGTTGCAAAGACTAAAGTCTCAAATCCAAAGAGATATTCTTTATAAAAGTTAAGAGTCAGCCACACCTACCTAAAACGGCTCGTTCTAACACACCCCCACATGTCTACGTCACGATGTGGGAAGATTTGCATAACGCCGCCCAAATCTTCACACAAAGAAAGAAGGCGTAACTTTTATTCTCGCTGTAGTATTGTTGCAGCCGCCGCCATGTCGTGAAGGCGCTGTGTGTTTCGTTGTGAAAGCGAAACTACTTTGTTTGGTCTTCCAAAAGAGGACATGACTAGAAATCAGTGGTTAAGTTGTATTTACAACACTGTTCCAGAACACTTCAACCCAACATTTCCATCTCACGCTTGAGGTATTCGGCCAATCACAACGCACTGGATAGCTGGCCAATCACAGCACACCTCGGTTTTCAGACCGATGAGCTTTGTAAAAATCGACACGTTTCAGAAAGGCGGGACATAGAGGAGAAACAATAATGTACAGTATATGGAAAATAATGTGTTTTTTGAACCTTAAACCGCATAAACACATTTCATTAAACCAAATACATAAAATAAAGTTATTTTTAGCAGCATCATATGACCCCTTTAAGTTTGCTCTTGTGGTAAACCTGTTCTGAAGCATGCATTTTAATTTTAAACCACTGAAAGTTTTCCTCAAAAGTCTAGACTTGCTGTTGTCATGCAGTTATCCTTTAACCAGTTTCCTCTGGGCTTTTGTTATCTATCCGCTGTTTGGTCTCTGAGTGGGAAATACCAGACGAAGAGAGCTAAATCATTAAACTAACTCGTTTCCACTCCAAGGTTAAGCTCACTCAAAGTTTAGCCAATCCCCTGAGACTTTTTCCAGAACCACCTTCCTCATCGTTGCATTATAAAGCATGGGCCATTGTGCCGAAAGCCTTTCCTTGGCGAATGGAATTCATTTCATAGCACATTCTTGTATAAAACAGAATGGCAGCTCTGGGGTTGGAGATATTAGGGGTCACCTTAGCTGTGTTCGGTTGGATAGTAGGCATCGTGTCTTGCGCTTTGCCCATGTGGAAGGTCACGGCTTTCATCGGGGTGAACATCGTGACGGCGCAGACCATATGGGAGGGAATCTGGATGAACTGTGTAGTGCAAAGCACTGGCCAGATGCAGTGCAAAGTCTACGACTCCATGCTGGCTCTCAGCTCAGACCTGCAGGCGGCCAGGGCTCTGTGTGTGATTGCCATTGTGATGGGAGTACTGGGACTCCTACTCTCCATTATAGGAGCCAAGTGCACTAAATGCCTAGAGGAGGAGCGGGCCAAAGCCAGAGTCATGATCGCCGCTGGAGTCACCTTCATCTGCTCTGCGGTCATGCACTTGATCCCTGTGTGCTGGTCTGCTCACAGTATCATCAGATCCTTCTACAACCCCGTAATCATTGAGGCACAAAAGAGGGAGATAGGTGCGTCTCTTTACCTGGGGTGGGCATGTAGCGCCCTTCTGCTGATTGGAGGCGGGATTCTCTGCTGCAGCTGCCCCCCGCAGGAGAAGAATAGGTACGGTCCACCCAGCAGGATGGTTTACTCCGCTGCACGGTCTATACCGCCCGCTGGCTTTGACAAACGAGACTATGTGTGAACAAACGTACTCTTTTTGTGTTGCAACTCTGTTCATATGTGTCCTGAACAGAGAACGTGATGATACAGCACAAGACAGTGTGTTTCTGGACAGTGAGTTCTGCTGTTTTGCCATTTCTTTTGTTACCAAGTTCATGCAAGCAGTTTAGAAGAATTGCAAGTATTATATTATTACTAAAAATAAGCACATGCAAAAGTATGTTCATAGCCATGTGTATATTGATATCGAGGTTGTCCTTTTTAGTATTGTGTTACCAACAACTAAAATTTCAGTGTTTTAGCATGTTTTTGTAAACTTTTCGTTACATGCATCTATATGATGTGTGCCACATTAACTTTAAAACACGTTCATTAAAAAAATACAAATTAATTTGTTTCTATGTTCCATGATTTTTGGGTCCTAATTAACTTAATTTATTAACTCTTTCCACACTTTTTTTTTTAAGTTGCAAGCTATTTTCAGCATTTGTGATCATTTTCAAAAACATTTAGTGGCACCCAGAATATTTTATTGTATGAATATATGAACAATGTAAAATGAAAGAAAAAACCTACCTTCCTGCATTTTTTAATCAATATTTGAATGTGAGTAATTTTCATTAAGTAAAAGCAACATTTTGAACAAAAAGCTGAGAAAATCACGCTTTTATTAAAGTCTACATCCGGATCAGATTTAGAATGATGATCAAAACATAGATGGAGTAGATCGCTTCCATCAACAAAAACAGCGTAATCTCTGGTGCACAATAGTAAAGTCTGTGTAAAAATTAAAAGAATCTAGAACTTTTGGAGTTCTTCACGTTATACACAGTGTATAGTGGACAATATGGCATATACTATAAAAGGTCTAGTGAATAAGGAAATATAAAGTTATGTTTAGGTATCTACTGTATAATATAGTCATGCAGAATAAGGCATTATTACAGTATATGCTCTATAAGTACTACTAATAAACAGTCAATATGGGAAGTAATATGCATGCTCATAAGAAACTAATGGTGAATAGTGTTACCCAATCTAAAGTGTTACCGAAAATGCTGTATTATTCATGTCAGGCTAGTAGTTGGTGATGTCACTTTGTAAAGAAACACTACACTCATACGCACAAACCTACAGACTGAACACGTAATACACACGTGCATGACATCGCCGTTTTCACAAATTCACTGATAAGATAATGGCATCATTTATAAAAATGCGCACTTTGAAACACATGCTCAAAAGTTTGCATTTTCAACTTAATTAAAGGGATAGTTTACCCAAAAATGGAAATTCTGTCATTAATTACTCACCCTCATGTCATTCTAAACACAAATTAAGATATTTTTGATGAATTCTGAGAGCTCTCTGACCCTCCCATAGACAGCAATGCAATTACCGCGATCAAGGTCCAGAAACGTAGCAAGGAGATCGGTAAAATAATCCATGTGACATCAGGGGTTCAACCGTAATTTTATGAAGCTACAAGAATACATTTTGTACGCAAAGATAACAAAAATAATGACTTTATTCAACAATTCGTCTTTTCCGTGTCATACTGGTGCCATTTTGGAGAATATCCAAAATGAACGTAAACAGCATATGCTATTCTGTGTCAGCTGCGTCACACGGATACGTTGTTTTCGTTCAAATCAAAGCGTAACCGCGTGACACGTTACTGTGTAGCTATAAACACATTTAAAATCAGATAGTTTCTAAAATGATCTGAAATGCAAGAATGAATATCTATGAAACTGTTTGCACTGTTTTTAATTATCCAGCAATTAACGTCATGCTGTGAATTCTCCTTGTGAATTTACCATAGCAACATGCTGTGCATCGCCTAATGCAACAGATGTCTGAGACACAGTAAATTAATAACATTCTCTAAAAGAAGTATTTTATGAAATTGGCAAGGCAAGGCAAGGCAAGTTTATTTATATAGCACATTTCATACACAATGGTAATTCAAAGTGCTTTACATAAAAGGAATTAAAATAATCATAAAAAATAATCACAACAATAAACCAAGGAAATTAAAAACTTTTAAAATAAAAAATTGATTTTAAATGAATTAAAACAGTTAAGAATAGAAAAAAGGTTATACATAAAATACAGTGCAATCAGTTCGGACGTAGCACAGTGCTCATTCACTAAATGCACAGCTAAACATATGAGTTTTGAGTCTGGATTTAATTGTGGCTAACGTTTTAGCACATCTGATCTCTTCTGGAAGCTGATTCCAGCTGCGGGCGGCATAATAACTAAAAGCGGATTCCCCTTGTTTTGTGTGAACCCTTGGTATTTCTAACTGACTCGATCCTAATGATCTGAGTGCTCTGTTAGGTTTATATTCAGTGAGCATATCTGCTATGTATTTAGGTCCTAGGTCATTGAGTGATTTATAAACGAGTAAAAGTACTTTGAAATCAATACTAAATATAACTGGAAGCCAGTGTAAGGACCTGAGGACTGGTGTGATATGCTCAGATTTTCTGGTTCTAGTCAGAATTCTGGCAGCAGCGTTCTGGATGAGCTGCAGCTGTCTAATGGTCTTCTTGGGAAGGCCGGTGAGGAGATCATTACAATAGTCCACCCTGCTGGTGATAAAGGCATGAACAAGTTTCTCCAAGTCTTGACTGGAAACAAAACCTCTCATTCTTGCAATGTTTTTGAGATGATAGTATGCTGATTTAGTTACAGCTTTGACATGACCACTGAAACTAAGGTCTGTCTCCAGAATCATACCAAGATTCCTGATTTGATTTTTAGTTGTCAAACCCCTAGAGTCAAGGTATGCATTCACCTTGAGAACTTCATCTTTGTTTCCAAATGTAATGACTTCAGTTTTCTCCTTGTTTAACTGAAGAAAGTTTTGGCACATCCAGCAGTTTATTTCATAAATGCATTGGCAAAGGGAGTCAATGGGGCTGTAGTCATTTGGCAATAAGGCTAGATAAGTCTGGGTGTCTTAGCTGTGATAGGCAATTTGGTTCTTTCTCATTATTTGACTTAGTGGGAGCATGTACAGGCTAAACAAGAGCGGTGCACAAATTGATCCTTGTGGGACTCCGCATTTTATTATCGTCCACTTAGACTTATGCTCTCCTATACTCACATAATAACCTCTCCCTTCTAAGTATGACCATTTGATTACCATCCCAGAAAGCCCGACCCAGTTTTCCATTCTCTCTAGAAGTATGTTATGATCAACAGGGTCAAACGCAGCACTGAGATCTAGCAGTACCAGCACTGATATTTTGCCAGAATCAGAATTTAAGCGAATATCATTTATTATAATAAATGAGAGTGTTTGAAAATCCTGAAATTTCATGACACAGTGTCTATACAGAAAAATGACTCATCCATTCAAAAGAATATCTTACAATTGTGTGTTTTGTCTACCTTTATAAAATAAATTCATGTCATTGTGCACAAGCATTGACAGCCTCTATTGATGTGCAAAGAAGCTATGTTTTGTTCTTAATTCCCAAAACTTTCCAGTAATGGAGGGCAGGTTTTGTTCTGGTGTGACTAGCCCTTTCTTTGTGTAATGTCTCCATCCTGAAAGACTCCTCCTCTCTACCTGATCTGGGGTATAAAGGACACTTGTTTTGTCACAGATGCGCTCTGTTTGCTCCGATGCATTGGCTGAAATTAGGCTTATACTGCAGGTTCCCTCACAGCTGTCCAGTTATTTTACCAGCATCTCTGGCATTGCATAGCTGCCACAGATCCTTTAAGAAGACATGTCTTTAGGCCTGGAGCTCATAGGTATCGTATCATGTGTGCTGGGGTGGCTTTTGGCCATCGTGGCTTGTGCTCTCCCCATGTGGAGGGTCACAGCCTTCATCGGCTCCAACATTGTGACGGCTCAGATTATCTGGGACGGCCTGTGGATGTCCTGCGTGGTTCAGAGCACCGGACAGATGCAGTGTAAAGTCTATGACTCCATGCTGGCTCTCTCTCAGGATCTTCAAGCAGCTCGAGCCCTGACTGTCATATCCATCCTTCTGACCGTCTTGGCTGTACTGGTGTCCATCGGAGGAGCGAAGTGCACTAACTGCATTGAAGAAGAGTCGTCCAAAGCTAAAGTCATGATCCTAGGAGGTGTGCTGTTCATTGTAGCTGGGCTTATGCAGCTGATTCCCGTGTCCTGGTCTGCAAACAGCATCATCAGGGACTTTTACAACCCTTTGCTGCCTGACGCCCGGAGACGGGAGATGGGAGCGGCGCTCTACACCGGCTGGGCAGCAGCTGTGCTCCTGATTTTGGGGGGATCGTTGCTTTGTTGCTCCTGCCCTCCACAGGAGAAAAAACATAACCCGTCTAGGATGCCGTATCCTGCGTCTCGCTCGAACGGTGGGGGAGGCTATGACAGAAGAGACTATGTGTGAAACAAACAAAGGACAACTCTGAACTCAGTGTTGCAGTGCTCAATGCACAGGCATCATTTTCTGGAAAAAAAGTGAAAATATGCCACACATTCTCCATCGTGGAGAAACATGTTTGATGCCTTTGGTCTCTGTGTAAGTGCGATGTTGGCTGTTCAAAATGTAATGACACTGACAGTGAGAAATGACTTTTTGTAATTGCTATGAAAATGCAAACTAGGTCTGTCACGTTCAGCTGAAATCTCAACGAAGCATCATTTTTAGCTAACTGAGGTGTATAAAGCTGATTTTACATTTATTGGTCAATTCCTTTAGTTTTTTGGACTAGTTGCACTAAGATTTTATGTTTGATTTCAATGTATTTTAACACAAACAAGTTGACTATGTGTTCACTATATGTTGTAGAATTTAAAATATCATCTTTTTTTAAACCATCAAAACCGTGTCTGATTTAAATTGTGATTTGGATTTCTTTATTATTTATATGATTTTTCTCATCTGTTTGTACAAATGGAATTTGAGAAACACGTACATTTTCTTGTACATGTATCTTTGGTTCATAAACACTTCCTGCCACAAATTTGTAAGCTAACTTTTAAAATAAGTAAACAAACTGAACTAAAAGCTGACCCAGGGATCATTTAAGTGTGGTCCAGGATTGTGGGAGGAGGGTTAGTATGGTGGGAGTTCGAGTACTTTATTTGTGAGCACTGAGCTGGAAAGAACAGCTGAGGAGTACAGGTTTCTGTAAAGGGTAATTTTGCCCTATAGTGTTCATATTGTAGTCTGTGTAGCTAGTACAACAATAAATGAACACATCAAGTAT